AGAAGAAGAAGAAGAAGAAGAAGAAGAAGAAGAAGAAGAAGAAGAAGAAGAAGAAGAAGAAGGAATGAATCTTAAAAAATAATGTGGCAATATCAGTTTCATAGTTATTGTGAGGATTACCAAAAATAAAACATATATTAAGCAAGACAAAGTTCCTTGTCCTTGGCATTTAACAGATATTAACTTGGTGCTATCTATCTCTAATTCTAACAGTGGGAAAATTAATCAGCTTTGTAGGACTTTTTTTTTTTCTTAGTAATACTGAGGATTGAACCTAAGTGTAAATGGACATTCCTGTCTGGACTGCCCAGTCCCAAATAACTGAGTGAGAGGCTGAACATGAATTATAAATGCCCAGGCTTGTTACTGGCTAACTCTAACACTTAAAACAACCCATATTTCTATTTGTACTTTGCCATGTGGCTCATGGCTTATTACCTCATCTTCTACATGTCCTGCTTCCTTGGTGGCTGTCTGGCCTCTGTCCCCACTCTCCTGACTCCTCCCTCCCTCCTCCCATCATTCTCTCTGCATCAGGCCATCTCACCCAATCTCCTCTTGCTCTCCTATTGGCCGATCAGTTTGGTTTTTTGTTGTTGTTGTTGTTAACAATGAGAATAATCCACAGCACCTAGGGCCTCATACATGCTAGGCAAGTGCTCTACCATTGTACTAAAACCCCAACCTAAAGATCAAATTTAATGATTTTTTTTTTTTCAGTTCCAGGAGGCAGCACATTAGAACAGAACTTGTTCTTTTCGGTTCTTTAAAAACGCTGGGGCCGGGCGGTGGTGGTGCACGCCTTTAATCCCAGCACTCAGGAGGCAGAGGCAGGCGGATCTCTGTGAGTTCTAGGCCAGCCTGGGCTACCAAGTGAGTTCCAGGAAAGGCGCAAAGCTATACAGAGAAACCCTGTCTCGAAAAACCAAAAAAAAAAAAAAAAAAAAAAAAAAAAAAAAAAAAAAAAAAAAAACGCTGAACTCCTCCTGTGCTATCTTTTCATATAGCCCATGCCCATGCATTTCTTAAAGACAATCTTTAGGTTTATTTTATTCAGCTAGTATTGGTTAGCTGACCAATTTATGTAAAGTTTGGTAAGAACTGTACACAATTTATCTCCTCAAAATTTGTCATGAGATTTTACAGATCCTGCCCTTATTTGTAGAGAGAAGTAGCTTAAAAACATTTATGAAAGTACATGAGTATATAGGATTAGATTATTTAAGTTATTTAAATATGAGGCACATCATCCGAAGAAAGGAAGGGGAGGCAAGACTTTGTATAAGGGGTCATGGAAGAGACTCTACTTATTTCAAGGCAGGAACAGAGAAAGTTTGTCAAGAACTGAAGAGTACTTTGTGAGAGAATAAATAGCTTATGGTTAGTTCTTCCTCAGCAAACACACTAGCCCACTACTTAAAAAAAAAACTTAGTTTTAAAACTAAAAAGTTAACTTTTATATCTCAAAATTGAAAACTATTGCTTTTTTTCCATCGTAATTTTCACCACTTTGGTCCTAATGAATGACTGAGTGCTCATAGGTGCAGGACCTGTAGTCCTGCTTCAGATGGGAGTATAGCCTGATTCTCTGCCCCAGGAACTCAGAACCAAAAGAGCAAATTGTAGATTCATCCTTCAGGTAAGACAAAAGCATGGAAGTGATACAGAAGAGGTCAGAACTGGGTAAGGACATCTAGGAAGGCTACGCAAACACTTGACAGTCAAACAGTTATGAATGATGAGTAAAACTTCAATAGGTCACTTTTGACTAAAAGGAATAGAAAAATTGATCTAGTTTCTTTTTTCTCTTTTAATAAACTCTTCCATTATTACCCATAGTATGACACAGAGTTGTATTATCTGATAAAAAATCACTCTTTTCCTGTTTTCAAGTAGAAATAACACAGACAAACCTACTTACAAAATATATGGAAGAAAAAGTAGGCAGTAAGATGTCTAGATCCACATATGATATGTTAACATTTTAAGAAAATAAGATTTTAGAAGGGGTTAGTAGAATTTAAATAAAGATCTCTTGGGAAAAAAATGTACTCAAAAACCTATGTGAGTTTTGGGCATCTCATAGCAAATGTCACATGACTTAAAAAGTTTTATTGAGGTATTGAAACACTCTCAGGGATATAAGTATAGAACTGCATGTTTATTTACTTATAACCAGTATGCTCTACAAATATAGCCTTAAAGTCTTTAAAGATAGTTTCTTCCACAATCAAGTATAAAATGGTATAGTATAGAATCCCTCTTCTCTCTCTTCGACTGGACTCCTGGAGCTCCTACAGAGACAACCAAACCAAACTAGTGGGAACTCATGAACTTTAGACCAACAGCTGTGGAGCCTCCATGGGACTTGGACTAGGACCTCTGCATAAGCAAGACAGTTGTGTAGTTGATCTGCTTAAGGGGCCCCTGGCAGTAGGATCAGGATCCATCCACCCTGCATGAGCTGGCTTTTTGGAGCCCATTGCCTATGGTGGGACACTTTGAACAGCCTTGATGCAGGGGGAGGG